ATGTTTTGAAGATCAATTTGAGGAATCAAAGCCCAAATGTAGTTCAATTAAACACCATTTTCAAATAAACTTCAAGAACATACTTTAAAGGTGACATGCATGTATTCAACCAAATTCAAAGCTTCAATGCAAGCTCAATTGAGTCCAAACTTCCAAAAACATGATGAATTCATGTACTAGAACTATAACATGAACATGCATGTAACAATTTTCATGAACATAACCTCAAAACTTCCATATAAGGACATGCTTGCATGGATTAAGCTTCAATTCAACATGTTAGAACCAATTCTAGACTTAGATCACTTAGGACTCATGAACCATGCAAGAATTAGCTCAAATACACAAATAAGAAGATAAATTCTCTACCTTAGGTCTTCAATTCCAAGTCTAGAAGTTCAATTATGCAATCAACCTTCAATATCTTCAAGTCTCCAAGCTAAATGCCTAGATGAAATCAATTTCTCCTATCTCTCTCTCTCTAGTCGGTTTTGTTCTTCAAAATGGTTGAAGATACAATGCCAAATGTGTATTACTCAAGTCCAACAAGTATTGACAAGGTGGCCCACTAACATGGCGAAAGGGTAAATAAGTCTAACTTATGTAATTAATCAATAATTAATCTAATTTAATCATACAACATCAAATTTCAATTAAACATACCATAAAATCATATTAATTCGAATTAGCATAAAACATTAATCAATTTCGGATTCGGATTCGGCCGCCGATAAGGCCTTCAATTTGCAGTTTATACATAATACATGAACAGATAATTTAGCAGTCAAACAGATAGACATGCATTTAAACGAATACACTCAATCAATCAGTTCAGGATTTCAGTCACTTAGTCAGTTAAGAGGCTTAATCATAGATTAGCACTAATCAGTGGTATTATCAATTAACAGTGGTGAGGGTTGTCACAGTCTCCCCTTCTTACAAAGAGTTTGGTCCTCTAAACTTGAATTACCTTCACTTAGGAAGAATACTGGATCCTGTGGGAACAATTTAGGATATCTCTTAATCATATCATCTTCCCTTTCCCAAGTGGCATACACGCCACCATGGTTTTGCCAGTCAACTTTCACTAACGGAATTTCTTTATTCCTTAACTTCTTGATCCATCTATTTATAATCTGAATAGGCCGTTCTTCGTAAGTGTAGTCATCACTTAGCACTACACGGGTAGGCTCAATCACATGGAAGGGATCCCGAAGGTAATCCTTCAACATTGAAATGTGGAACACGTTATGCATATGCTCCATTTCGGGAGGAAGCACTACTTGATACCCCACTGGATTAATCTTTTCAATAATCTCATACGGTCCGACATATCTCGGCGCTAACTTGTCTTTAACCCCAAAACGGGTCTGCCCTTTCATCGGTGTCACTTTGACAAAGACATGATCACCTACTTCATATTCTCTGTCTCGTCTTTGGACATCTGCATAACTCTTTTGGCGGCTTTGTGCAGTTTTCAATCTTTGTTGAATCTACTTCACATTTTTCGTCGTTTCTTGCACAAGCTCCGGTTCCAACAAAGGTCTGTCTCTTACCTACCCAACAAATCGGAGATCAGCACTTTCTATCATACAAAGGTTCATAAGGAGCAATTCCAATGCTTGAATGATAGCTATTGTTGTATACAAATTCGGCTAGGGGAAGGTAAGTCTGCCAATCCCTTTGGAAGTCCAACACACACATCTGTAACATATCTTCCAAAGTTTGATTGGTTCATTCAGATTGGTCGTCTGTCTATGGGTGGTAGGCACTACTCAGTCGTAGTTCTATTCCCAAAGCCTGTTGTAAACTCTGCCAGAATCTTGATGTGAGCTTTGAATCTCTGTCAGCTACAATAGATACTAGCACACCGTGTAATCTCACAATCTCATTCACATAAATGTTAGCTAACTTGTCCGCATTATACAAAGTTTTCATAGGTAGAAAATGAACAGATTTAGTCAAACGATCAACTATGACCTAGATAGAACCTCGAGATGAGTGAGGCAATCCCACAATGAAATCCATGGTAATGTGCTCTCATTTCCATTTCGGTATTGTAAGCGGCTGAAGCAATCCAGTGGGTCGTTGATGTTCTGCATTAACTTGTTGGCATGCAAGCATTTAGACACATAGTTAGCAATACTTTTGTAGCGACCCTAATTTTTTCGTAAGTCATAATTATTATTATTACTTTATTTTATTTTTGACTTTATTAATGGTGTGGTTACATAAGAATTTAATGTGATATTTAATTAATTTAATTATATATAATTAATTTGAATATTTATATATATTGATATATTTATATATATATATATATATATATATGTATGTATGTATGTATGTATTTATTTTTAACTGAAGTAAAACACTGTCTGATACTTTCGAATATTTTATAGGCAAACCCTAAAAAATGAAGGGAGTAAAGATCATAAAACACTGTCTTTCAATTAATTATTTTATATGCAGGCTCTGATTTTGATTCCCATCTATCTCTGTCCAGATTCCCCCCCCCCCTGATTGAAGGGCTTTCATTTAGCTAATTTTCTGAAGTGTAGTCGTAACCATGAGGAAATTAATACTTTTTCAGTGCCAACATGGTGGAATTCTTGGAAAATAGCTTTTGTTTTTTTATTTTTTTGATAAGAAAGATTTTAAAATTTTGATGAAATAAATGAACGGGGACCTTCGTCTGCAGAACTTCTGGAAGTGTGCATTCCACGCTCGAGCGGCGCTTTTCACGCTCGAGCGGGAGTCTGTGTCTGACACTCGAGCATGGCGTTCCACGCTCGAGTGGACTATGATGTATATCAGTCCAAGAAGAAGCATTTTGAATCACTTTTTCGCCCATCTCTCTCTCTCTAAAGCACTCCAAAACCCTAATTTGAGAGCTTCTCTCTCTAGACTACATCTTCTCTCTACAAATACATCTAGTTCTAGTGATCTTCTACCCTAGTTCCTTTGTATAAAGTGTGGAGCTCGGCGTGATCTTCGTTTTGATCCGAAAAAGTTAGTGTTTGGTGCATATTGGGTTTTCACCTTCTTCTCCTTTGAGCTCCGAAATTGAGGTAGGGATAATTACTCATATGTATGGTCTTTGATATAAACATGTAGTCTTTTTTATTTAATGTTGAAATTGGAAAATTTTGGGTGTTAGAGTTTCAAAACTTGAAATGTATAAAGAGGGGTTTTGTTCCTTTTGAACTACACATGTGTATTTGAGTCTTAAAATGGGGTTATTGATATTTATTGATGATATTTGGACCTTTGAGTCAATATTGAGAAAAATGGGAAAATGCCTTGGTTGGGCTTAGTCGGGTCATTGGTGTAATTAATGAAATTAATTATGGGAATGTAAATTGGTTTGGAAATAATGAGATTGGGCAATTGTGAGATGGAATTGTATAGTTGGATGGATTAATCACTCACCTATGAAAATGTTGATAATTTATCTGTTTGATGAATTTATTATCTGTTTAGAAATAACTGCTTTGGGCTATCGGTGGAGGATAATCTTGATTGTTGTAGACACTGTATGTTGATTAGGGAAAGCTGAAACTAATCAAATGGTTAAGTCATTGAATATGATGATTGAATTGATACATTGAATATGTGCCTGGATTGATCATTGTATATGATAAAGCGTTTAAATACATTGTATATATATCTTGTTTGGGAGAAGATAGGGGATGTACTCTCAAACCTGTTTGGGAGAAGATAGGGGATGGACTCCATTGATAACTACGTTGGCTAGAGTGTCCAGGGTGAAAGTCCCGAAATCTTAATTACGTTTGCATAACGTAGATAATTGAAGTGTTGATAATATGAGTTGTAGTCTCATTTGAATTGATTATGATTAAAATACTGATAGTATGAGTTGTAGTCTCATCATCAGTAGTGTTAATAAATAATGGCTCATATCTATGATTTGAATTGGATAATGAAATGGAAATATGGTTGTGAATATAAATTGGTTATGAAAGAGATGTAAATTTTTGTATATGAGTTAAATATTTATCAAATGCTAATGTTTTAGTTATTGCTCATATTTGGTTTAGTATATCTCTACTGGGCTTTGGCTCACCCTATATGGAACATCATTTTTCAGGTACAGGTGATATGCCACCTCCAAGGATGTAGCTTGGGAGGCTTAGAGGCTGAAAGATCTTTTTGTTGTTATCTTTTTGTATTACATGTAAATCAAACTGAGGGCTTATTTTGTATAAAGAGTTAGGACTCTTCTTTTGTTGGACCAAGTGTTGACTTGGAAAGTTGTAAGCCCATAGGGCATTTACTTTTGTTGTCAACATTTAATATCTCTTGTAAGAATACTCTGATGTTTGGAATATGATATCTCTTTCTTGTATCATGAATGTATGATTTGTGGGTTTATTTTGAGGGCGTTACAATATGTTTTATATTCTATTTTTTTGTACTTAACATTATCAAAAAAATAATAAATAAAGATTAACTTCACTTCTAAAGAATTAGATATCCATAAATAATCACCAAATTCATCTGGGAATAAGCTATTTTAGTTGACTCTTTGATTTTTTATGAAAAGATATGCATACAAAAAAAAAAAAAAAATGGAGAAAGAGAAAAAAAAAAAAAAAAAAAGAAGAAGAAGAAGAAGAAGAGAAAGAGAAAGTAATGTGATGGGGTGTTTTGTTTTATTAACTATTTTAGCTTTGAATGGACAACCCATCCCTAGGGGTGTAAATCTGGCCCCTGGCTCGGCCCGGCCCAGCTCATATCAGGCCTCACGGGCTCTCGCCAAAATTTTGGCCAAGCCGAGCAGGCCCACGAGCCAAAAAACTAGGTTCAGGCCCAGCCCTAAGCCCAGAGGGTATTCAGGCCTTGGGTGGGCCGGTGGGGCAGGCCTCGTGTGACGCCCCAAAATTTGAGGACATCATAATAAGGTTTAAAACTTAAAATGGATTTTCTTAATTAAGAATCATCATCAATGTTGCCACCAAATTTACCATCATCCATTAATTAACAACACAAAAACTAAAAGTTCTTAAATTATAACTCCAGTCAAACTTAAAACTTTGTCTTAGTACACAAATAAAAAAATAAAAAAAAAACTAGAGAAAAACTAGAAACTCAGAAAAATGGTTCATGGAACTTTGGCACGCTTCAAGCTAATCAGGGCTGAATGTTGCCTTCCAACACCTTGGTGTTTCCTTTGGTTTCTTCGGTACCTGGCATGAAACACCAAGGCAACGGGAATGCCAATGAGCAACGAGCTCAATAGATACTACAACCCGAAATACCCACCCCGATAATAATACTCACAAGTAATGAATAATGCGTAGTAACAGAATAACAGGTAGCATTTAATAAGCATAACAGGAATGCCATCAGTTGAAATAATAGCAATAGATAATAAATAAATAAAAATGACAAACAGAAGCAGTATTTCATCATAAGGAAAATGCCCATTTTTTTTAAAAAATTCTCATAGATTTAGTTTATCAGATAAATTTAAGTAGCTCCCCGCAGAGTACTATTTCCACTCAACCGCTAAGTAATGGCCACGGGCAATTCTGACTCCCCCTTGGTCAAATATTTAAATGTTACTTACTGTAACTACCAATGATGCCCACGTACCAGCGTTACGTACCCGAGTCGTAACATCACAGTCTGTCCCAAGGGAACGGTCTATGTTGTGACACCCGCACCACCAACCTTATATCGCCTACACCGGGCTCACCCCATCACTTTTACATTTTAATGTATCATTGGTTAAATTTCGTTTTTCTTTACTTGTTGAGATATTCACAATAATTCAAAATTTAATTACCAATAATGTTATACCAACTCATTAAAATCCCAACATAAAATATTACACATGTCACACAATAATAAACAAATGTTCAAGATTTAAGTAAACAATTTATTTAAACCATGGCATGAAATAATAATGTCGATACCGAAAAGAAATAAATCATAATCACACACATGCATGTATTTTTAATCCACAATATTAGACTAGCACAATATTAAATTTTAGTCCAAATAAACAATTGAAGAGATAATTTTTTTTGATTCCTCCTGAATCTGCCAAAATTTTTAGAATATATATCTCGCAAATAAAATTACAAATAAATAACTTATACAACTCTAAAATTCATAAAAATCTACAAAATACTCAATAAACATGTTGTGGTCATTTTTCAAAAAGAAGTTTATAAAAATAAATTATAAATAATTCTTAAAAATTCCAAGAAAATGGATGACACAGATTTATCACACTTTCTTAAATTAATTCCATACTTAAATTTATAAATAAATTCCATAATCTAAAAATTTATTATGAAACTAGACTTCTCAAATTTCATTTTTTGTTTAGAAATTACCAGATTTGGTTTAATATAAAATTTTTAATGATTTTTCAAACACAGAGTAAAATCTGCCTATAGCTCCAGATTTGGTTAAAAATCTGTATAAACTCGTACAAAACTCCATAATTGTTTAAAAAATTCATGGATGAAGTAGAAATCATTATAAACAACCTTTTAGAATAAATCATCTTTAGATTTCGATTATAAAATTGTCTAAAAATTCGTACAAAATTTCTGGCAGATTCAAGGACCAAATAAATTCTTCAATCCTCTTTTAATGGTATAAACTACACATGCAAGCATATTTCCACACTAGTACCATGACTTTAAAACTATCAATATCTTCAACTATTTGATATACACATCACAAAATTTACATACATCTATATAAAAATTCCTACCTATAAATTAGTCATTTTATCATCTGAAAATTTCAACGATTAAAAAAAAATGAGAGGGTTGAGAGGGCTTTCTTACTATGTTAGGTTGCTAACGATCCGAATTTGATTTATGATTCTGATCATAAGATATGACCGTCCTAGCTCCATGATCGTCTTGTTGAAATTTCACATTAATCGGACGTGATCTCACCATTGATTTTCCATTGGATTCTCTTAGAACTTTTAGTTGTCGATCATCATCTTAGACTCAGAATTTGCAAGATATAACCCCAAAAATGGATTCTACATGTCGAAAAATCTAAGGGTGTGTCATAGGACCACTCGATTAACCTAAATGTACTAGGATGCACCGTAGCACCATGAGCCGAGAAACGCTGGGTAAAATTCAATTCATCTTCTCCAAACAGCAGTAGCATGCACGAACATGACCCAGAAGTTTTGTTTCAAATCCACTGGTTCAAGTTCTTGTATCTTTTTCATCATAACTCTGTTTTATCTTATTTTTCTGTCATTAGATTTACCTCACGGCCTAGTTTTTGGTTCACTACTCACGGCCTAGTTTTTGGTTCGCTACTCATACGCCTCGTTCCGTCTATTTTTGCATGCCATCGGATCTCTAAAATTTGACGAAAAATAAGATTATTTTCCTACCGTCTCGGACATTTCTTCAAACCATCTTTCGAACTCCATAACTTTCTTAATTCTTAATGGTTTTACTTCATTCTTTCGCCAATATCTTCAACTTACTTCATACTTCATCTTACATGGCCTATTTTTCTCACTTCTCCTCGGAATGGATGGTTTTGGCATGCCGAAAGTAAGCCGAAAACCAACTTTTAAAATTCAAAATAAACTTCTCTAACTTTGTTTCTTTCTCCTCCATCTTCATTCTTCTTCTTCTTCTCTTTCTTCACCTACAACACGTTGTGAATGGTGGTTCTAGATGATAATAGAATTAGGTAATGGTGGTGGTGGCGGTCCGACGGTGTGCCGGTGGGGGAGAAGTTTACGGGTTGGTGATAGTATGGGTTAAGGCCGTGGCTATGGAGGTCGGGAAGAGGAGTAAGAATAAAGATAAAGAAAAAGAAAGAGTTTTGAGAATGAGAGGTGGAGAGAAAGAGAGGGAACCGAGAAGGAGAGAGAGATGAAACTGGAAGTGAAAATTGTGAGGAAAAGTTAGGCTCAATTTATGGGCAAAGTGAGGAAAAGTAAAAGAAGAAAAAAGAAAATGAAAAGAAATTTAAAAAAAGAAAAAGAAAAAGAAATTGAACACCTAGTGGCATGGCATCAGCATGTCCACCATGTTTTCTTTTGATACATAAGATGATTACACGTTGAAGGTGGAAAGCGAGAAAACCTAGGGAGCAAACCCATGGTTTTTTGATTGGGTTTTAGTACAGAAAATATTAGATTCCAGTGTAATTTGATTACAAAAAAATATAGAGAAAAATATAATAAAAATATCATAAGATTCAGAAATTAATATTGAGTAATAATATAAAGTCAAAAAATATTTTATTTCATTTTATTTTGAATAAATGTTCAGTATAAAAATATACAGACTATTAAATTCAAAATATTGTGAATAATTATTTAAGAAAATTATATATTATTTTTATTATATAAAAATACGGGATTTCCCTGGGCTTGGCCATTTTTTTATTTTTTTTTATTTTTTCTACCAAAATTTTATTATTTTCTACTAAAAAAATACACTGGGCCTCGGGCGGGCCGGGCCTTAAGCGGACCAATGGGTCGGGCCACAGGCTAGGCCAGGCTTCAAAATGATATCTCAGGCCCAAGCCAAGAGGTTCGGGCCTAAACGGGCCAGGCCCACCCCGGGCCACCCACAACCCATTTTTAGACTCCTACCCATCCCTAAACAAACTCATATTTTAACTTATTTCTATCTTAGAGTGTTTATGCCCGCAAAATAAACTATAATTACAACATTGTAAACTAAACACAAAATCACTATATAAAACAGAAACTCACATTAATACATTAATACAAGATTATCTGAGAAAACAATCTAAATAAGGACCAATGTTTCATTTATAAATCAATTCACATGCCACGTGCAACTCACGGACACCCCAACTATTTTATATATATATATATATATATGTCAACAATCAGAGACTTTTTGTAATCTTTATTTACGTAGAAACCCGTAGAACCATAAGCATAGACTTTACATCACTACTGATATAGATTTGGGTGCCTTACCCTCTCAAACTAAAACCTGCACTTCCCACACAATTCAAACTTGTAAATAAATACATGAGGAAATATCATTTTGTCCCTTAAACTTTCACTCATTTTTTAATTTGACCCCTAAATTTCGATTAATATCAATTTTACATCCAAAATTTTGAAATTTTAATCAATTTAGCCCCTGCTATCACATTCTGTCTATAATTGAACAGAATGTGCGGACATGACACCAAAGTTCATTAGAAATTTCATTTTACCCTTTGAACTATACGTTAAAAATCAATTTGCCCCCCAAACTGTACCTTAAAAATCAATTTACCCCCTATGTCAGCACATTTCATCCAATTGTAGACGGAATGTAACGACAAGGGCCAAATTGATCAAAATTTTGAAAGTTTAAGTGTAAAATTAATATTAATCGAAGTCTAAGGGTCAAATTGAAAAACACGTGAAAGTTTGGACGGCGAAATGATATTTTCTCTAAATACATTGAAGAAACCATAGCATCAATAAACAATAGGACAAGGCAGAATTATCATATAGGGGACGAATATATATATATATATATATATCTAATCAAAAAATTTAGAAATAAAATACAAATTATAATATTAATTTCTACTAACGCGATCAAGCAACTAACTGATATCTGGTTTTATTCTTTAGAGCATCCACACCAGCCTCTTCAAATTTTTAGTCAAATTATAGCTAAAGAAGCTATTTTACTATTTTAGCTAATCACCTCTTTAGTGCCTATTATATCAAACTCTCTATTCTAACTTAATTTTATTAAACTATTATTTTCTTATTGTGTTTGTTATTCTTTCTTTTTTATTAAATTGATGAGTTACCAACCAAATAATTCTTAACAAATGCAAAAAAAAAAAAAAAATGGTCGTTGACCGACCTAACGTCCGGCCAGACTTCCGAGCAGACATTCGATAACACTAATCTCCATGTTGTAGCAATAAACAGTACCTCGCTTGTTGTAGCGAGCTACTATAACGAGACTGATGGACATCCATTTTTGATGAACAATATCGCTAGTTTAGCTAAGAATCGATTTTAGCTAATTTGATGAGGATGCTCATATATTATAGCTTATAATTAACACTAATTATAAAAAAAATAAATTTCTTTTATTATATTTTGTCTTTTTTTTATATTAATTTTATATTTTGATTATATGTTTCATCAATATAGAGTGATAGTCAATCAAACTTTCTTTTAAAATCTAGAGAAGATGATTCTTAAAATTTGTAAAAGAAGAAAAATTTAGAAGGAGCAAGTATCTATAATTTGTAAATAATTATAACTAATATTATTATAATAAATGGTGTTTTTGAAAACGTACCCGCTCTAGATTTAATGGCGTTTACGAATGAATAATAATTGAATTGAACGGCTTTTACGAATGCATCACCAACTTTTTCCGTATTGAATTGAACGGCTTTTACGAATGCATCACCAACTTTTTCCGTGATGTCGGTATTCGTGAAAACTAATAGGGAAAGGCAGCCGATAACACAAACTGAAATAGCAAGGCTAGATGAATGTGCTAAGACAGCATATGTCCCCGTAGCGAATGCCAACACCATTGCAATCGCAGCATAAATAAGAAGATAAGCAGCTATATCAACTAGCTTCCTTACTTCATCCCGATTGTCAATAATAGTCACATAGAAGTGGATGAGCACCGCTGAAAAGGATAATGACATGGCCATGGCATCTGTTACCATAAAAGCTTTGAAAGCTGCTTCTCTTGTTAGAATCGCCCTACCTTGGTTTGGGCCATCGTTGCCATTGTATCCACCGGGCATTGTGAAACCAGCAGTAAAGGCCATAGTTGCTACAAGTGTAGCCACTATCAAATGGTTTGCCCCTGTTTGCCTCAGGTCTATGGGTATTATTACATTCTGCAAATAAAAAGCAAAATGTGTGAATTATCCCATTCTCAATTGAAAATAATTACATAAACCCCTTGTAACATTAAATATTGTGTAATTTAATAGCAAGTGTAAAACAAATATAGACATAAGGGAGATTATATGCTCATTTTAAATTTTAAAGGAATAAATTAAACATAAAATAAAGTATAGGAGTTAAGATGCATTTTGTCTCCCAAATAAATAATGAAAATATCCGTAGTTCCCACACCTAGATTACTTATATATAGAGACATTTTAATCTTTTTCATTAAATCATTAGCAGGGTTAATAGTATACTTTGGTTCACAAATATGGCTACATGGTTATTTCCTAAAGAGAAACGAGGAATCCCAACATAGATTAAATCACAAAGTGATAAAGTAAAATTTGTCCAATTATAAACACAAATAAATGGTAAATGCTAGGAGTGACCTGGTGTGTAAGATTAAATTTAATTATTTAGTCATCATAGTGATTCACATGATATGGCAATATTAATTATAGATTTAATAGGATTTATGTTCCATATCTTTAGTCACAAGTTTTAACTGATAGGTCAATAAGAAGAGTGGTTTTCAAGTTTCTAATTTTGATGGGCAAGTAGAGTTATCTTTGAACAAGGAAATTGGTCATTGCTTTGCCTATAAAATAACATTCAAAGTACCATAAAAAAATTCTGAATTCACGTATTTTAAAGAGGGTTAAGAGAGAGAAATCATTTATTCATAAATAAAAAACTTGTTTATCTACTGAATCTCTAAAGTTTTCTGTAGCAATGGATTTAGGTAAGTACCGCAGGAATGGATTCAGGTAAGTACAATTATTTATATGAAAATCATGATAGTTATAGATCTTGGATTATGAAGGTTGTTATATGCATAATACCATAAAATTTATTTATATTGTGGACCATGTAGTCGTCCCTTGAAAATTTAAAATAACGAGAAAGTCAGACGTTCGGGATTTGAGTCGATGGAGCGACTGTTATCCTTTCGTTGTGATGTAACTTACTAACCCATTAACATCTTGTATTTTTTTAAGGAAATAAAAAAAAAATAAAGGGTTAAATTTATTTTATCCCCTTGTGGTTGGGGGTTGGAGCATTTTACCTACCTATGGTTCAAATATAGCTAGAAAAACCTCATATGATTTTATATTGAAGTACTACCATTGATTTTTCCATCAAAACTAACAGAATGTGTGTTTCACACACTACTTTTGAGAGTGGATTTGATTTCCTAAAAAATTAAAGTGAAATTAATATAACAAAAAAACAATTTTATCCCAATTTTCTCTAAACCTAAAATTAGATGAATATGTTAATTAAAATAAAATAAATCAAATTAAAATATAATTAAAAATTGGTCTCAAATATAAAATACAACTAAGAAATGATTTAAAATATAATTAAATAAAAATATAAAATAAATAATAATTAAAAATTGAACTAAAATATAATTAAATTAAAATTAGATTAACATGTTAGGAATTATAATAGATAATTAAGCATTTAAGATTAATTGTGATCTAAAATATTAAATTAAAATAAGATTAGAAATTTTGTAATTAGAATAAATAATTAAATATTTAGGATTAATTGTGATATAAAATATAATAAAATTAAAATTAGAATAAAAAGTTAAGAATTGAAATAAATAATTAAGAATTTATAATTAATTGTGATCTAATTAAATTAATGTTAAACCTGATAAATTATGTGTATGTGAGGAGATAGAGAGAAAATAACAGAAAAAAATATAAGATTTAATGGTATTATAATCATTTTATATGTGGTCCAAAATCACATTGATTATTTTTGGGTCGTAAGGGGTAAAGAAGTTTAGCCTGAAATTCTGATGAGCTAAAACGAATTTAACCCAAAAATAAAAAATAAAAATGATTGTAAATGAAGCTTAACCCGTTGGTTCTGACCTCAGTATTTAATTTGGAGAGAATGTCCCAAGTTTGTTTGGCTGTTGTAGCATCCTTGATACTTGGAAAGATCCAGTCTGAGACGCCTTGCTGGATGTGAGAAAGAGCTGCAGCATCCTTCTGTTCATTAGCCTCATGGTTGTACCCATCCTGTACCGTATCCCACAAACCCTTAGATAAAAACAGAGTTCTCATCTTCACACTCCAAAACTCGTAGTTGGTACCGTCAAAAATTGGAATTGTGGCCATGTAGAGTTAACTCTGTTAAGGATATTCAGTACTTCACCTTGCAGCTGATCTTCCTTCCACAAACCATAAACTCTACTACTACCATATGGAATGGAAGCCTTTTGAGTAGGCCTATGTAAGCTGTTGTTTCATCATTAAAAAATAAATAAACAAATAACAGCCAGCAAAATTTACTTTCGTAAGAAGGACGAATGTAGATTTTTTAGAGTTTGGGTTACAGCTGCACATGGTGCACTGCCGCACATTTTATTAGGTTTATTTTAGAGTAATGCTAGAGATCCCAAATATTCTACTAAAAGTTTTATCAAATGTCTCACGTGGGTGTGGGACCCACATAATGTGGAAGCAGAGCATGAGGAAGCAGAGCAATATCAAATTCAAAGTTTACAAAATTGAAATATCAAGTAATTCTCAATCAACCGATAATCGTTGCTATCATGAGGAAGCAGAGCAATATCACATCAAAACTTCTTATACTTTTCATCAAGGGACTCCTCATCAGCATCACAAACACCAAAGCTCCCTAAAGTAGAAAGGGATAATTATTTAAAACCAAAATTCCCCCTTCCCGCCCAAATCTGCTCCTGCCTGGCATTCCTTCATCTTCATTGACACTAGAGAATAAAAATGTGATAAACATTAGAGAGTTATCTAGTCATGAAGAGCTCTACTGTGTAATACTCATCATGATTTGTCAAACGCTTAGTAAAATCTCAATATTATCATACATCTATTTTGGCTACAATGATTTCAAGGCTTCATCTCAATACTAATTCATATAGGTCACTAAAAGTAAAAATGGTACATAATCGGTGAGACTAGTTTTTTCATATGAAAAGAAGTTTTTCAAAGAAAGATAATGAAAAGAAAAAGACAAATATTAGCCTCAATATACTTGAATAGGTCCTAAGTTTCTTCAGGAGCTCTGAGGTGGGTGCAACAGGTTTATTGAATACCAAGCGAAACATCTGCAAGAACAAAACCTCAGCTGTAAGTTAGAATTGGCCAAGCTTTTAAATTCCAATTGTGGTAGAGACAATGGGAAATGAAATCGTAAATTAAAAACTGATTAAACATGGATGTTCAGAACCCACAAAAAGGATTTAAATGTAGAAATGAAACTGAATGTTGAAGAATTGTTCTAAAACTTCATGCTAACTATTTTATAGCTTTGGTTATATGATGTTTGTTGTATATGTACTATTCAATCTAGCTCTGTTTAACCAGTTTTCTAAAATTTTATTTTAGTTGTTCTAACAAAAACAACCAAAGGTATAAGTTAGAATTCGCCAAGCTTTTAAATTCCAATCCAATGAGAATGAAATGGCAACCAGGGCCCTGATGAAGCAATATGTATGTTCGGAACCCAGAAAAAGGATTTAGAGTTGGAAAGAGAGCTAATCAATATTGAAAAAAGTGAGGAAATCAAACCTTAATTGCACTTGGATCTTTCAAAAACTTGACAATGTAACCACAGTATGCCACAGAGAGAGAGAGAGTTTTAATATAAGCACTCACAAATGGAGCAAAGACAAGGTCCAAAAAAAAAAAAATGCAGCAAAGACATTCAACATATAGATTGAAATCATAAATTATAATTCTAAGATTGGAATTTGATAATTGATTTTGCACTGAATTGTTAACCTACTAAAAGATTTCCAGGCATAACCAATAAGGTGATGTCCCCAAGCTTCTTGAAAATTATGTTTATAAATCTAATCTAACATTGTAGTTTTTACTTTTCATAGGGAAGGCAATCTGCTAAAAGCACCAAGAAGGTGTAACATGGTAGGTCTATCTACTGTACAAGATGACTTGCACCACTAGGAAGTTATGTAATCAAATTTAATTCCTTGTAAAACATGAAATTAATAAAGAAAAATATGCAATTGCCAAAGATAGCAAATTTGAGTTCAGCTCAAATTTAGATACCAGAAAGGAGTAAAACTTACCATAACAAACAGCAGCATATAAATCAGGAAATCTGTAATGATAAGTGAAAATTTTCCTAAAACAGAAAATACACAAAATTGACAGCCTAAACAAATGCATTTGCTCAAAAGCCAACTTAGGTCACAACATTGGTTGGACTATTATGTTTCTCTCCCAGTCATCCCCTCTGAGTGTCTCGATGTGTTTTGATTCTCAAATGTACCTAAGACTATCTGGTCAACCCTTACACAAGTAAACGAAAGGAGATGAGCTTAATCACACTACTACTATCTTCATCCAACCCCAACACACCTATAGTCATGTACAGCACACTGTTTAGCATCTTACCTTACGCTACCCATCCTTGACTACCAACTTCATCCTTGACTGCCAACTTGAAATGCTCAACAGCAACCTCCTCCCCTCCTCCCACCACCACACAAAACACAAAAAAAAACAAGATATTTGCACATGAGATTGCTTCTTTCAGATTCATGATGATTTACCTGTAAAGCCATGCACTTTATGCAAACAGGCATAGATAACAGTAACTTTTTGAATGAAGAAAGAAATTAAGAGATTATGCACCAAATCAAAAAAGAACAGGCACCCAAACTTGCAGGTCCATGTTCCACAACAACACTCCTTTATTTGTTCATTTATTTATTTTTCTAGAATATATATACTCATTAGGAGTGTACTTCGGGATATGTATCAATAAAAGTTGCTTTAATTTTAAAATGAGACAACTATGGCATGATGGATAATCAAAAATAATAATAATGAAAAAAGGAAAACAAGAAAAAGATAGGTACAAGAAGATTACAGTCAAATATTAGGCACAACATGGTGCAGATCGGGATCCTTCTGTTGGTCTGTCCACAAGAACCATCCTTGCAGGATTCTGAGCAGGCTGAGTTCTAGGCAACCTCTTAGCTATTTACAAAAAAAAAGCCATGTAGAAGGTCATTAGCAGTCAAATTTTGACAACAAAAATTAGTACGTCAAGAACTAAGAGAAACCATACCAACAACAATGCTAAAGGCAATATACGAATCATAGACTGGAAATTAATCTATCATATATACTAATGACAGGGTTAAAATATGATCCATCCATTAATAGGCAATATTTTATCCATCTATCAAAGGCAACAAAAATTTGAACCAATTTTTAGGCATCTGGATGTATAGATGGTATAGATCTTTAGTATACAGGTTGTGCCTCCTTGACACCTCTTCTTAAATAATTGTATACTGACCAAAAAATAATTAGGTAAAGCAAGGTGAGATGTTATCCTTAAAAACAAAATGATCGATCAACTCTTAATCGGCTCCATTAAAACTCATTTGAGATTGGCTCAAATGAGTGATAGGGTTCAACTATTTATTTTAAACCAATAAAAATCCACATGCCCATAAGCTTGCCCTAAGAGCTCTAAATAATTATCCCTTAAAAAATGCAGTAAACTACTGTGTTTAACCCTGTAACACAACCAAATCACTCTGAAAAAGACTTGGGATTATTAAACAGAATTTTAACCACAATCTCGTGGTGCATTCATTTATTTTAGCTTTCTCCCATGCAAATGCCAGCTAACGGAATTGAAAATTAAGGAAATTGTAACAATGCTCCTATTCAATTATATGTACCTAGTCAGAATCACAAAAATAAAGATCTTTTCTAGTTCAAAATGAGGTTGAAAATGTGAAGTCACTGGTAATTTTCAAGATGATTGTGCTCTCTCCACACTGACTAAAAAAACAACTTGAGTAATTTTTAAGCTCTGATGATATTTCATGTTATATTAGAGTTTGGCATTACTTTTATTTATTTATTTATTTATTTGGGGTAATCAGATCCTTGTCAAGGATCTTCACCACTCCCCGAAGATGTTCTAGCCAACACAGAACAGGGAACATATATGATCTAGTTCTTCTAACAAACCTGAGTTAAATTAAAATTCACATCAAAAGGATCGAGAAATACATATAATTAAAATTCACATCAAAAGGATGAAGTAAACAAAAATCAAACAGAATGAGTTAAATTAATTTTATTAATTCAACATTAAAACTAATTTTTGGCTACTTGAAGGATCGAGAAATACCTTGATAGAGAGTGAATTAACCAATCGATGTCTTCAAAGTAGCAGAAATCTGCAAAAAATGAAGAAGAAGGTGAAGAATCAACCTATAGAAAAACTGCATCCATGACAATGTGCAGGCCAATCGAACAAAAATGTGAACTACTTATTGTGTTCTTCATAGATCTACAATATATATATGTATGTATGTATGTATGTATGTATAGACAGATATATATATATATAGAGAGAGAGAGAGGGACGCACCAAATCTACAGAAAATGTGAAGAACAAGGTAGATCTACTGAAGCTTGTAGATCTCAAACTGATCTGCAATGGAGCTCGAGATGGACAGAGCGAAGACCTACAATGAAGCTTGCGATGGAGCTTGACATATAGAGAGAGAATTTTTTACGCATCGTGAAGCTTGGATCGGTTTTCAGCGTGTATTTGCATCAGGTGACGTTTTGTAATCTTTCATTATTTGGTCCCTAAAAAATGCCAATAATATGTGTTGACAACCAAAATTATTGGTCTCAAAAAGTTACACTGCGTAACAGGAAATATCAAGAGTCATTTTGGTAGTTTTATAAGTAAATTATCACAAGTTTAGTTTTGTCTCTAAAAGATTATTTTTAGGGACCAAATTTAATTAGCCCTTAAATATTAGTCTCTAAAAGACTAATTTCTTGTAGTGTGATTTAAGAAACCATAAGTGATGAGCTTAATTGATTCAGTTTAAAATATAGAATCATATGAGAGTTTAATTAAAAATTTGATTCAGATTAGTAAAATTAAGACTGATTAAATTAAATTTTAATTGAGATTAATTAAGCTAATTAACATAAAAATTATACATAGAGGTGTTTTGGAAAGAAGGTAAAAAATTGACAATTGACTTTTGACTTTTTACCAAGTTTTTTGACTTTTTTATAAAGTAATTTGGGAAGTTGGTAAAAAGTTACTTTTTTGCTTTTTGGGTTAATATTTGTTTATGGTGTCTCATCACACTAAAATGACCAAAATACCCCACCCAACTTAGGAAATTTACTTTTTTACCCACTTGGTTGTTTGAACAATTTTTTGGGAATGTAATATTAAAATTATTCAATGTTACCAACAATGTAAAGGTTGGCGTTTTTCCGAAGAAATTGCGCTTCAAATTTTTTTTTTTTTAGATTTATTTATGCTAAATGCATTTGACGGCCTTTGTTTTACAAAGACAAATAGACAGTATTATAATCAGTTCAACAGTGTGACACATTCGTATCATTTCCCATCAATAGGTGCGTCCGAATAGGATTATAGGCCGAGTTCACGTCGATGTCGCACCAACTCATTCCAAATGGATTTTCTAACTTGGTTCATATGTACGTCATCATCACCCTCCGGTTCATCATCATCGTCATCACCAACACCCGCAGCATTTGGCATGTTGTAGAAAATAAAAGTCTCTGCATTGGCAACCCTGCTGAAGGCTTCATCGTTGTTGGAGTAGCGGTGTGTAAAATTATGTAGTGCCATTGAAGCCTCAACTAATGGCACCTACACTTTCCCAAAATCATACCGAGACATGTTATATAGGAAGCCCCATCGCACTTTCCATACTCTGAACGTATGTTCAATTGCAGTCCGTAAGGAGGAGTGTACTGTGTTGAAAACTTCATTTGCATTTTTTGCCCGTCCAGTAGCGCGAAACTCTTCCTGATGGTATCAACATTCCTTAAATGGTGCTAGAAAGCCTTTTTGGTTCTTATACCCCGCATCAACGAGATAATATTTTCCTGTTTGTAATAAGATTATTTTGCATTAGTAACCTTATTTATTAATCAAATGCACACAACTAACAATAACATTGAACACCCTTAATTCATCTAACCTTCCTTCGGGTGGGGGAATTATTTTGTGGGTTCCTGTGTTACTTCGTTAAAAACTCTACCGTCGTGCATACTACCCTTCCATCCATAGGAGATAAAAGTAAAACACAAGTCAAAATCACACACCGCGAGTATGTTTTGCGTGTGCCGTCTGTAGACACCCCATTTTTGACCGTCCTCAAGACTTGGACGTCATCGTTTGAACACTCGATGATCACCCATGTTTGTGTTCGTCTTGAGTTCTCGGAGGTTTCGGCTACGCGCCTTGCCTCAAGACCTCTCGACTTGTTTGTTTTGTGTTTGGTTTTGTACCAAACACTTGTTGTTTTGGTTCTGAGGGTGGGAAATAGCTTGTTGGCCATCCTTACACCTTACCGGCCATGGCCTGAGGCCACCGGCTCTGTTTTCTTGCTACCGGCCAAAAGTGTTGGCCGGTCGGCAATGTTTTTGGTCGACCGGCCATTTTTTTGATCAATCGGCCACTTTTCCTGGCTGAGACCTTTTCTTGAGGGAGCTTGACCCTTTTGAACCTTTGTTTTAGCTTCTTGAGGAAGCTTGAACCTTTTGAACCCTTGTTTTAGCTTCTTGAGGAAGCTTGAACCTTTTTTAGCTTCTCCAAGAAACTTGACCCTTTTGCTCCAAACTTTCAAGAGAAGCTTGAACCTTTCTTAGCTTCTTGAGGAAACTTGACCCCTTTGCTCTAGCTTCCTCAAGAAGCTTGACCCTTTTTGCTTTAGCTTCTAAGAGAAGCTTGGACCTTTGTTCCTCTATAAAAGAGGGCCTCTCCTTCCATTTCAGGGGTTGAAAAATCTAATATATAAAATATATATATCACTCTCTCTCTATATCTCCCTCTCTCTCTCTACATTTGTGTGGGTCAGAGTGTTTCAAAGTGAGTTTTTGTTCTTGTTCTTGCACTAGAACACCTAGGAGTACACTACTCTTTGGTTACTAAGGTGCTAAGGAGTTGTTTGAGGGGTTTTTGAGCTGGTTTTGATCCAAAGAGGCTGTTGGTTTGGTGTTCTTGGAAGTGGTCTTCAAGGGTAACTCATTTTCCCTCTTTTATTCTCCGTTTTTGTACACACTTTTAGCCTATCTTGCATGCTGATTTAAGCTTAGATATAAACTGAAAAAAGTTTTGTATTTGCCTGATTTTGAAGTTTGTTTGAGATCACTTTTGTGTTTGGGGTTGTTTACCCCCTCTTAGGCCTTGTTTGGCCTCATTTTTGTGCTTTTTTTGTGAGCTTCGGAACCACCTTGTATTGGCCTTCTCACCACTGAAATCCAGAGGGATTTCAGTGGTGGGGATGGTGTTTTGAGGTTCTAAGAAGGAGAGGGCCATCCCCTCTCCTTGTTGTCTTGTTTGTTGGCATTTTTGGCCTTACAAAGGAGCCCATATTTGCATGCATCCCAAGCTTGGTTCAGGCCATTTTTGGTGAGTTTTAGGACCTATATAACCTCTTTCCAAAGGTGGTTTTGTCATATTTAATGTTCATCTTGCATGTGTAGAACAACCCCTTGCATGGCCTTCCAAAGGAGCACCTCATTCTAACATGTGTTGGCTTTATTTCAGTGGGTATTTGGTGTTATTTAGGCATGCTTTACCTCTTTTTTAGGTTGGTTTGTTGACCCCTTGCATGCACCATACACTTGCCTTGCATTCCTTTATTTTGCCTAGAAAGGCATCTTGCATTTGGACCACCATGCTTGCATGTTTTGACTTAGCTTTGTGAAGTTTTTAGTCATGTTTTAACATGTTCAAGTTCTGTTTGGTGTCTATTTGGTCATGCTTTCCATGCCTTGTATAGGTTCTTTGCATTCTAGCTTGTTAGCTTCGGGTGTGTGAGTCATTATCATGCTTCATTTAGGCTATTTCAGTGATTTGGAATCACTTCCCCTGCCATTTCAGTCCATGTTCTAGGGCCACACACTTGCATTTATCATTCATTCCATGCTTGGGATAGTTTGTGTGTTATGCCTTAAGAATAGACCATTGCATGCGCCTCCATGATTTGGTCTTTGGAAGACCTTCTCATTAGGTTTTGGGGCTTATTTTGATGTGTTTTAACTCTGATTTTATTTGCCTAAATCATGCCATGTTTGGTTGTAAGAGGTGTAGTGCATTTCCCCTTTTAGGCCTTGTATGCGTCTTGTTTTGTACTTGCCTTTGTAGCATGTTGTGGCTTCATTCCGTGCATGTTCTAGCCTTGTTTTGGCCTCCCTTAGGACTATTTTGGATCACCTTAGCCCTTTAGGGCTTGGTCGACCTGGCCATGGTTCAAGTCCCGTGGCTTGCTTTGAGCTTTAAGTCCATTAACATGCTTTGCTTGTCTTGATTAGTTGATTTGGCATCATCTTTCATGTAACTTCAGAGCTTAGTATGCTTGCCATTTGTCCATAATAGTCTCTTTTAAATGTGTTTAAAAGTTGCTTCTTTTATGCCTTAGATGATAGGCCTTTGTGCATGCATGCTTGTATGTATGTTTCCATGCTTTTGTTGCATCCCATTGGCCACTGATTTTGGCATGCTTGAGAGTTACCCATGTTAGTGTAAGTCCATCTCACCATGTTGTCGCATGCTTGTTTCATTTCGCATGTTGTTGCATGCTATACACATTCACATGTTTAGGTTGTATGCCTATATGCATATTGCATGTTCACACGCTCATGTTGCATGTTCACACGCTCATGTTGCATGTTTAGCTTGCATGTTTAAGTTGCATATCATTGCATGCATCTCTACCCTCTTAAATCAATTATGATAGGGGTTGGAGGCCTCTTATTTGTTTTATGTGCATTTCATTCGATATCAAATGCATACTTGACTCTTTGGCCATCACGCATTGAAATGCGCAATTGATGGTCCGAGGGTCGAGTACCATACTCTCTTGAGTCTTAAACATGATAGGGAGGGTGATTGTGCATACAATGTCTTGTAAATTCTTTGCCATGCACTGTCTGTCCTCTACTGCAGCCAAACCAGTATTCTGCAGCAACATATGGCCGGTCGACTACATTAAGTGCCGACCGACTACCAAACTCCAGCCGGTGATCAAACTTTTGGTCGATGGCCATTTCTATATGGTCGGTGGACTTGTATTCTGGCCGGTGACATTCCACAGTGCTAAGGGAGTATTTCAGAGGCATCCTAAGGATTCTCACATCCCTCAGAGGTGCAAAACAGCGCAAACAGAGGCAACAGTGGCATGGCAACGGGTTTCCGGGTGAAGCCAATCCGAGCATGCGTGCATCCCTCTTCCCGAGGCCTTTTACTGTTTTCCATAGCTTAGTTAATTTCTTTAATTAGTTAAGTGCTATGTAATATTTAATTAGCTAGGGTAGTTAATTATTTATCCGGTTTGTATTATCTGTTTGGACCCTCTGAGCGAGGGCAATTGTGTAATAAGTGTGTGTGCGTGTGTGCATGTCTTCCAACCCCACGTCTTTCTCCCTTTTATTTACTAGCTTACGATGGTTAGATTAGGGCATGTTTCAATTAGCATACTTATGCTCGCATGTTTGCATCCATTCATTTGTCTTGCATGCACCG